TGCAGCTCTCGCGGGCCCCGGGCCCGCCGGAGGCCCACCCGGCCGGCCGCTGGCGGGTCCGCGGGCGGGTCGCGGCGCTCTCCGGGCCCCGGCGGCCCCCTGGCGGGCCCGGGGGGCGCGCCGAAATTGCTTTCTAATTCCGCGAAATATTTCCCCGCCCCCGCGTAAGGCCCCAGACTCGCACATCTCAACTGCGCGCCGGCCTGGCGGGCGGGGCCCCGCGAAGTCGCAGCCGGCAGAAAGCGCCGCGCGCCGTGAAATCCGCGGGCCGCCATGTAGACTACAAAGAGGACGCTGGCGCTGCGACCCTGCGTTCATGGCCCCCAACACTGCGCGCTTGTTTCGCGCAGCGCGGCCCCGCGCCTGCGAACCTCAAGCAGCGCGGCGCAGCGCAGCGCGCCCAGAATGGCCGCGGCAACGATGGCTGCAGTGGCGCGACGCATTCGCAGCGCGCGCCCTGATGAACCCGCAAATTGACATTGGCGCGTTATGTCTACGCCGGGAAAACGATTTCCTACTTGAAACGACTTTGGAACTACTTTTCCCTACTTAAACTTGTTACGTTCAAATTTTCCTAGATGGGAAAATTACTGATTAATTCTTTGTTCTATCCCATGCTGATCAACATGGCGGGTTGCTCTCTGCGGATTCGTCGTCGCAAGATTGAAATGGCAAGGGGCAACAAAAGGAGAGAAGATGACGGCGTCGTCGTGCACCTGCGGGGAGGCAGGACAATGTGAGCTCGACAGCAAATGCCCCCGGCGACCGTGGCCTACCTTTCTGCGCCTTCGGGCATCTCGAAATGGGGAATTCGAATCTCAACGGAACACCATAACGCCCAACTGCCCACAGGGTCTGGAACACCTGCGACGCGGCCTCCCCTCGGACATAAGTCGGCATGAGGGCCTTAGCAATGGGGGGCAAATCGAGAAATGTCTTTCGCGTTGGGAGCACCGTGAAAGCAATGTGTAGCATCGTCCAGCCAAGGCGACGAGGGCGCCGCAGGTGTCGCCAAGCTCAGGATGTACATGACGACGAGGACGAGGCCAACACAGACAAGAAACGATGGATCACAAGGCGCACAGAGAATGGGCAAAGAAAGCCGTCACATCATCTGAAGCAGTCGTGCCGTCTTCCGATTGGCGCTCTACCTCAGAGTAGGCCTCCGCCTGGACCTCGCTCGGAAGCCGTCCAGCTGAGGTGCTGGTCGAGAAGGCCACATAAAGAAATGACGTAGCAAACACCCGTAAGGACTGACAGCGTCGGTCTCGCAACTCCGGCACATCGGCTGATAACCTGTGAGAGGTACGATCGGGCAATACCACCAATCTGCTATACCCATCCACTGTGGAATGGCGCCTGCGTAGGGCGCGCGGCCGCAGGACACTCCACAGAGACGCGTGCGCCTTGAGGGTCACGCACAAGGAAGGAGAAGAAGAGTCTGCAGGTGTCGCCACCGGCCTGGCCTGGGACGTCTCCCACAGCATCTGGCTGACCGCCTTCGCTAGGTCGCCCAGCGCGTCACTCAGCACAAAGTCGCACCTCAGCGCCGCCTCCGTCATGAGGTCCTCGAAGCCGACCAGCGCCGTGTAGGCCTCGAAGCGGAGCCTCCCGTCTCCCCATCTCTCGTCTGTGCCGCCGAACCGTTGCAACCGCATGTCGGTCCGCACACCGACCACATCGATCGCCGCCATCGCCGCCCGCGGAAGGGTTGCGGAAAGGTGCGGAAGGGTGGCGCCCGAACTCAGCCCCCGTGGGCTTGGGAACCGAGCTCCGCTACCATGTAGCGATATCGACGCATATGCGTATCACCATCGAAGCCAAAAGGACCTGCCCATGTTACTGCTCCCATGCAGTGCCACGTTGTCTCCTGCAACGTGGGGTCTCCGACCCCAGCAAACAAAATCGACAACCTACAATCATACATACATACATACATACATACCGACAGACAGACAGACAGACACACTGACAGGCGGGCAGGCAGACAGGCAGACATACAGACATACCGATACACACATATGAATGTATGTATGCAGGCATGCATGCATGTATGCATGTATGTATGTATGCACGTATACACATTCGTCTGTAACTATATATATGTATGTATATGGATGTGCATGTGTGTGTGTGTTTGGGTAAGTTATGTACAATGCAGATACATGGTTAAGTATATGTATATATACACATACATACACATATATACAGACATACATACATACATACATACATACATACATACATACATACATACATGCATGCATGCACACATGCACACATACCTACATACATCCATGCATCCATGCATACATACATACATACATACATATGTGTATGTTTGCGTACTCTCTTGCCGACGCCGTACCCATGCAGCGTCTTGGCGGGCCCTTTTCGGGCTCTCTTGAAGCTGTTTTCGAGCCGCCTGGGGGTTATACTTGGCCGTCTTTGGGCCATCAGGGGACGTCGGTGTCCCACGTTGCGTTCTTGGTGCCCTCTTGGGTTGTTCTGGGGCGGTCTGGGGGGCCCAATGGGGCTGTCTTGGGGCCCACTTGTGTCTTGAAGCCGTCTTGGGCCCTTCCTGGGCCCTCCTGGGCTCGTCTTGGGGCCATCTTGGGCGCCGATTGGGCCATCTTGCAACGATTGCGGGGGCCTCTTCGGCCATCTCGATTGCTCTGGAGACCGAGAAGCCGAGTATGCGAAAATAGCACCTTGTTTCAAAACATAAAAACATGAAATTTGCCTCCCGGGTGCCTCTTGCGTCGTCTTCGAACGCCCTTGGGGCACCTGGGGAGCCCGTTGGGCCGTCGAGTGGCCATCGTTGGGCCATCTTGGGCCCACCGTGGACGTCTTAGGGCGCTCGTCGGGCCCTCCTGAAGCCTCCTGGGGCCCTCCGAAGGCGTGTTGGGGCCATCTGGGGCCGTCCTGGGCCCTCCCGAGGCGTTTCGGGATCAGCCTCCCCAGCCGCACCCAAAGTTGTACCAGATCTGTTTTCTATGTTTGTAGGCACGTAGTACATATGTGTGTATATGTGTCTATAGTTCTGTACATATATAGATGTATGTGTGTATACGTAAGCACGTGTGTATGTTTACACACATACTTACAAGTCGGCATCCATCGATCCATATAGACATCGGTATACATGTGTATATATATATATGTACATAGGTGTACAGGTGTACAAACATACATACACACAAACAAACAAGCAACCGTTATATATATATATATATATATATATATATATGTATATATATATATATATATATATATATGTGCGTGTACATAAACATACACAAGACTGCAGTGGCGCTTCGCGCCATTCACCTTGGTCCTTAAAATTTGGTATGCAGGCGGAATAGTAGGAAGGTCCAGCCGACAATTTAAGGATAACTCCTTGTTGCCTTTGTCTGCCATCGCCGCTATCATCATGCTTTTTTGTTTAGTTATCCTTCCTCCATGTTTCTTTTCCTCATTTTCGCCATACCCTGCGCATTCTCCCCATCCTCCTCAGCTCTTTTTTGCGGAGGCTCCTCCTTGGAGAGCCTCTGGGGGCCTCACAAAAGTTGTTTCAAGGTTTCTTAAGGCCTTCTGGAGGCCTCCTGAGCGTATTCTGGGGGCCTTTGGGGGCTTCCTCGGGCCTACCTGCCTCCAACCGCGGTCTCCCTGATCGACCGGGTCACGATTTGGAATGCTTCGGTGGGCGTCTTGGGGCCATCCCTGATCGCCCTAGGTGTGCTGGGAAGGCTTGGCAAAACGCCCTGCGAGGCCTGGGGGGCCGCTTCGAAGCCGGTCTGGAAAGTCCCAAAGCCCCAGATTCTGGGAGTCCGTTTATTTGTTGGGGAGGGTGGAGGGGTTTTCCCCCCGCCCAGGCTTATACAAATAAAGGAAGCGGCATCTATATATACATATGTGTATATATATACATATATACACATATATATATACATACACGCTGCGTGGTTAGGTTTGACGGGGACACCGTGATGAATACACATCTCCAGAATATACAAGAAACGCGGGTCGATGACCGATCCCTCCGAAGAGCGTCACAACCGCCCAGCCTCGACCGCCCGATTCCTCCCGGGAACAAGCTGTTCATAATGTATTTTTGTTTGAAGGTTCTGGGGCCTCAAATGATCCGGCCGAGGTCAAAAGGGAAGACAAAACGCCATCATTGAATAACTACGACGTCGAAAGTCTAGGTCTCCCAGTCCCCAACAGTCTAGGAATGTCTCCACGGGTCTCTTGCCACTGGGCCCAAATCTTCGAACCAGCTCACGATTGAATCACCATTGGATCACCGCCAACATCGATACATGGAAAGAACAAACAACGATGTAAACCCACACGATGGTGAAAAACAAAGCATTGGCGTGCGGACCCGGCGTCATCTCAAAGTCGGTGGCACATGGTTTTGCGTATATCGGAACACTTCTCCCACATGGAAGCGTCTCGATTCCATCGATCCCTCTTGGTTTGGCGGCGACTTGGGATGTACTTCCTCCCTTGCAGAATCAACGGCGCACTCTTACATTGTGAAATGTTTTGCGCGGCCCAACCGCCCACCTCCTTCGGGACTATCCGCAACTGCGGGTGGCTGATATGGACGGTGAGCTGCGTAGTCAAATAATGAACAAAAGGGTGATGGTGAATAGTTTGAACAAGTTGAACGCCTGAAGAGGCCCCTGGAAGCCCCGAAGGTGTCAGCAACGTCGGAAACCTAACCCCGCGATCCTCTCCCGCTGGAGTTTGCTAGTTCTGGACTCGCTTGGCCAAGGGAGAAGTTCGACAATAGTACAACGGGTCATAGCACTACGAAAACCGATACGAACAATAATGACAAGACGCACAACAATAAAAGCATCACGGAAGGCCAAGTGCAGGCGAGGAAAAGAGGGAAGGGAATCTATGATTGTATCCGAACTCCCCGAGAACTGGCTTATATTGAGGGACGGTGAAGGTGAGGACTACAAGGGGGATGGCGAGGCCGCGACCAGCGTGGAGGTCGTGCGCCGCCCGCAGGCCAAGTCTGGCTCGTAGTCGAGGAACTCGGTCCAGAGCTGGGTTCGGAGCACCAGGCAGGTCATGTGTGCCTGTGCTTCGGGGGGGGGGGGGGCCTGAGAAAGGGGCGAGGGCGGAAGGCGAGGAGGCAGGAAAAAGGGGGGTGGATCGGACTCGGCATCGCAGCAATCGGCGCGAAAAAAGATTCCACCCCGAGAGCCGACAGGGCAACTCTCATTCCAACCGCCACCCCTCTGCACGAGGAGGGGCGCCCAGCCCCGAGCCGACCAGAACTGTCATGGGGCGAAAGAGGGGAGAGGGAGGGAGAGGGCGTGTCTTGTGCGGGGGAAGACTCCAAGCGCAATGCGTTCCAGGAAAACATTGAGCGTGCGCTTGAAAAGACGACACGCCAAATCTGTGTCAATTTCGTATGTGTATACCTGTACACACATACTAGAACCACGCGCGCGCTTCGCGCGCTCCTGTCCTAACCTTTTTGTCAACACTATCTAGGTTGCCAACGAATGGAAATATCGACGGTCCCTGAGACAAGGTCCGCATAGCGTCCCCCCGCCCATCGCAGCACACCCCACGCACGGATCGTTGCCTATAGGGAGCTCCACAGACGGTCCAAGAGACGAGGTTCGCATAGCGTCTGGCCACTGAGTTCTCAGTTCGGCACGCCCTTCGTAAGGATGGTGCACCACAAGGAGTTCCACCTACGGCCCCAAATACAGGATTCACAGCCTGCCCCCCGCCTGCTTCTGCGCACCCCTGACACGAATCGTGGCCCACAGGGGCTTACACCCACGGCCCCAGAGAAAAAGTTCGCATGGCGTCCTCCTGCCTACGTCGGCGCATCCCGCCCCCTGGCTACTACGGCACACCCTGTACACGCATCGTAGCCCACACGGAGTGCCACCTACAGCCCAAGAGACAAGGTTCGAATAGCGTCCCTCTGGCCAAGTTGGCCCCAGAGGCAGGGTTCGCGTACCTGGCTCACGCGACCAGCGCTGGCAACTCGACGCCACCGACGCAACCCGACGCCCAAGATGTGACAACTCAACGCCACCTGACGCCAATGTGTTTGACTCGAGCCCGCTCGGTTGGGACCCACATCCCAGAAACATGAACTGTTCTTATATTCGCGGATTCTGCAACGTTCCCACACTTAGTGGTCGTGGAGCCCGGACAACGGACAGAACGACGATGCGGATGGGATGGACGCGGAGAGATTGGGAGGAGGCCGAAGAATGAGGGTGAGGAATGAGGAGGCTGTAGAATGATGAGGTTCGGGAATGAAGAGTAAACCGAGGATTGAACGGGAGACTGAGGAATCAGGAGAAGGCAGAGGAATGAGGAGGCTGAGGAATGAGTGGGAGGCTGAGGACTGTAGAATTCACTGCAGGAACTCACGCGCGACGACAACGCCGTAGAGTTCCCACAAGAAGCCCCACGAAACCTCCAAGAACCCCCCGAGAAGCATCCAAAAGCAAAGGTTACGGCCGCACTCTGCCACAGCATCGTGGCGTCGCATCCAAGACTGTCCCAAGCTTAGTCGACCGATACATTCGGGAGAGCTCGGCTAAACCATCCTGGATTCGTTCCAATACTGCACCAGCATGGCGGCGGGGATTGCCGCAGGCAACTGTACAGATGGATGGTCACGCGAGGCGTGCTATAGCGGCCGAAAACTCGGAGGAACCGAGAATTTCAGGCCACTTTCCACCGATTTCAAGAAAGACATCCTCTTCGCACGTGCACCCGGATTGCGCCTCAGCGGTCGTGCGACACATCGCGGAGCGTGGGTGCGAAGCACCCACAACCGAAGCAAAGCACCATGGAGTCAATAATTCCTGTCAGCATGCGCACAGCTGGTGATCATGATGAGGATGAGGATGAGGATGAGGACGGCGACGATGAAGACGATGCGACGTTTTCATTTGCAAGAAGCGAACGAAACTCGAGCTACAAGATGGCACCCTGCGGCCCGGGCAAACGCATGCTGCCACGGGATGGTACCCCTTCCCTCCCTCCTCCTGCTGAATCCGCGGCCCCGGCACGCACCTAGCTTCGAGGTGGGTGTCCACCAGGGCTAGGTGTGTCGCGGCCGAGTCTATGCAACAATCCGCCGACCCCAGAGGCGTGTGAGGGAAAGTGGCCAACACTGCCCAACGCAATTTCTCGCCCACCACTAACCAATACTCATCTCCTCGCCCTGGCATCTCCACCCCAACGACCTCTGCTGTTGGGACTGCCCCCACCAGACAATGCCTCCCCCACCAGAGGTCAGCTGTTGAGACCCCCCCACACGACAAATTCTGGCCCGAAGCCCACCAGCGCTTCCCTCCTCGCCCTGGCACTCCCACCCCACGACAGGTCAGTTTTTGCCCCCCCTCCACACACACACGCGACAAATTCTGGCCCGCAGCCCGCCAACGTCCCCCTCCTCGCTCCGACACCTCCACCCCGCGAGAGGTCAGATTTTGGGACCCCCCACGCGACAAATTCCAACCCGAAGCCCACCAACGCCCCCCCAACCACCCCCCCCTCCTCGCCCCGGCATCCTCAACCCGGGAGAGCTCTGTTCTTGGGACCCCCCACACGACAATTTCTCGCCCGAAACCTACCAACGCCCCCCTCCTGGCCGCAGCACCCCCGCCCCAGGAGAGCTCAGTTTTTGGGCCCCCCCACACAAGACAATTTCTCGCCCGAAACCTGCTGGCGCCCCCCTCCTGGCCCTGGCACCCCAGCCCCAGGAGAGCTCAATTCTTGGGACCCCCCACGCGATAATTCCTCGCCCCGAACCTACCAACGCCCTCCTCCTGGCCCCGGGACCTCCACCCCAGGAGAGCTCAGTTCTCGGGACCCCCCACACAACAATATCTCGCCCGAAACCTACCAACGCCCCCCTCCCGGCCCCGGCACCCCCACCCCAGGAAAGCTCAGCTCTTGGGACCCCCCACGCGACAATTTTCACCCGAAACCTACCAACGCCTCCCTCCTGGCCCCGGCACCCCCACCCCAGGAGAGCTCAGTTCTTGTGACCCCCCACGCGACAATTCCTCGCCCGAAACCTACCAACGCCCCCCTCCTGGCCCTGGCACCCCCGCGCTAGGAGAGCTCAGTTCTTGGGACCCCCCACACGACAATGTCTCACCCGAAACCTACCAACGCCCCCCTTTGGCCCGAGCCCCCCCGCCCCAGGAGAGATCAGTTTTTGGGACCCCCCACACGACAATTTCTCGCCCGAAACCTACCAACGCCCCCTCTCCTGGCCCCGGCACCCCCACCCCAGGAAAACTCAGTTCTTGGGACACCCCACGCGGCAATTTCTAGCCCGAAACCTACCGACGCCCTCCTCCTGGCCCCGGCATCCCCACCCCAGGAGCGCACAGTTCTTGGGACCCCCCACGCGACAGCTTCTCGCCCGAAGCCTACCAACGCCCCCCTCCTGGCCGCAGCACCCCCGCCCCAGGAGAGCTCAGTTTTTGAGCCCCTCCACACAGGACAATTTTTCGCCCGAAACTTACCGGCGCCCACCTCCTGGCCCCGGCACCGCCGCCCCAGGAGAGCTCAGTTCTCGGGCCCCCCCACACGACAATGTCTCGCCCGAAACCCACCAACGCCCCCCTCCTGGCCCCGGCACCCCCGCCCAGGATAGCCCAGTGCTTGCATGGGACCCCACCGCAATAATTCCTCGCCCGAAACCTACCAGCGCCCTCCTCCTGGCCCCGAGCACCCCCACCCCAGGAGAGCTCAGTTCTTGGGGGGCCCCACGCCGCAATTTCTCGCCCAGCTCAATTCTTGGGACCCCCCGCGCGACACTTTCGCGCCCGAAACCCACCAACGCCCCCCTCCTGGCCCCGGCACCCCCACCCCAGGAGAGCTCAGTTCTTCCCCCCACGCGACAATTTCTCGCCCGAAGCCTACCAACGGTCCCCTCCTGGCCCCGGCACCTCCACCCCAAGAGAGCTCGGTTCTTGGCACCCCCCACGCGACAATTTCTCACCCGAAACCTACCAACGCCCCCCTCCTGGCCCCAGCACCCCCGCCCCAGGAGAGCTCAGTTCTCGAGGCCCCCCACGCGACAATTTCTCGCCCGACACCCACCAACGCCCCCACCTCCACCCCAGGAGAGCTCAGTTCTTGGCACCCCCCACACGACAATTTCTCGCCCGAAACCTACCAACGCCCCCCTCCTGGCCCCGGCACCCCCACCCCAGGAGAGCTCAGTTCTCGGGACCCCCACACACAACAATATCTCTCCCGAAACCTACCAACGCCCCCCTCCCGGCCCCGGCACCCCCACCCCAGGAGATTTCAGTTCTTGGGACCCCCCACGCGACAATTTCTTGGCCGAAAGCCACCAACGCCCTCCTCCTGGCCCTGGCACCCCCGCCCCAGGAGAGCTCAGTTCTTGAAACACCCCACGCGGCAATGTCTCGACCGAGCCCTACCAGCGCCGCCCTCCTGGACCCGGCACCCCCGCCCCAGGTGACGTCAGTTCTTGGCCCCCGCCGCGCAACAATTTCTCGCCCGAAACCTACCAACGCTCCTCTCCTGGCCCCAGCACCCCTGGCCCAGGAGAGCTCAGTTCTCGGGGCCTTCCACGCGACAATTTTTCTACCGAAACTTACCGGCGCCCCCTTCCTGGCCCCGGCGCCCTCGCACCAGGAAAGCTCTTGGGACCCTCCACGCGACAACTTCTCGCCCGAAACCTACCAGCGCCCGCCTCCTGGCCCCAGCACCCCCGCCCCAGAAGAACTCAGTTTTTGGGACCCCCCACGCGACAATTTCTCGCCCCAGTGGCCCCGGCACTCCCACCCCAGGAGAGCTCAGTTCTTGGGGGCCCCCACACGGCAATGTCTCGCCCGAAACCTACCAACGCCCCCCTCCTGGCCCTGGCACCCCCAACCCAGGAAAGCTCAGCGTTCGACACCCCCCACGCGACAATTTCTCGCCCGAAACCTACCAACGCTCCTCTCCTGGCCCCAGCACCACCGCCCCAGGAGAGCTCAGTTCTTAGGACCCCCCCACAAAAATCTCTCTCCCGACCCCTGCCCACGCCCTCCTCCTGGACCCGGCACCC